CATTGAGGGTATTTTTCTTGGTGTGTTCCTTAGACAGTGAGTTTGAGGACTTTTCATATTGAGGGAGTTGTTTGTGAAGGAAATGGATTGAGATATCTTGATTTAAATAGGGGAGGAGGAGGTTCACGGGTTCCATTAAGTGGGTAGTTGGAACGGTGAGAGTAAATGAGTTTCAACTTCCAAGAAGTTGAAAAGCAGAAGGAATCTTTTACCAGTTACCAAGGAATTGAAACTGTTTTAATTAGAAAATCAGTTTCGATTGGTTTGAGAAACGTAACTGTTTTGGTTTGGCTAAGCCCAAAAGAGTGGCCCAAAAAGAACAGAAAGCTACGTACTAAAGGGAAATTATTCCTATTGGGTTCTCAAGGCCCAAAATAAGAATATCATTTTTCATTCCCTATAGTTCTAATTTCTACTCAGGACGAGGTAGCACCAAAACAAATGAATATTTAAAAGAAAAAGTGGTACTATTTTTCCAAAGTCCTGTACATTTTTAAACATCCTAGGGACCAGTACTTTTAGAGCTGGTTGGAAATGAATTAAGGACTGAAGCTTAGTTTTAAGAAGGCAGATTTTGTAAGGTACCTGAATCGGAGATTTCTAATTTTAGTACCAAGACTGAGATATCCATCTTCCATTGCTTTGAGCTTATCAATAATTCATTGCCAAAAAAATTGTTAAAATTGTTAGCCAAAACTAGTTAAGTTTCCCCCTGAATTTCATTCCCCCTGAATGTATGCATAATTAAGCATAATAAGCGCAATTTAAAACCAGTCAAGCATTGTTTAAACAAGGTGCTTTCATCAAAACAAATTAGTGTTTTCACATACTTTCCCCCTGTTTTGATGTAAAGAACCTTCAGTGTCTCTTGCGCTTTGAAGATCCGGCAACTTCACTGATGCCCTTCATGTTCCCACACAGTTCTTTGATGCGTCTTAAATTTTCACGTCTTTCTTCTGATTGAGCATCATTTGAGAAGTGGTCAACTACTGTACCTATAACTACTATTCCATCCAGTCCTGAGCTGGATAGAAGTTGTGCTGAGTTTTCCGGATTTCTCTGCTGTGCTTCAAGGATTAGATTTGTCAAGTTCAGATGAGAAGGAATATAAGATACTTCTCCTTCTTTGATTGCAATAGGGAGCTGTGGTATTGGAGATGGACTGTGTTGTTGGAGAATTACTTCCATCTTGCGGTTTCCAGAGTTTGCACCAACAAGTCTGAACAGCTTGTATGCTTCCTTTTGATTGTCAATGATCACTTTCAAGTAATCTTTGGTTACTACCTGATTTGCAGAAGCTACTGCTAGGGCTGATCTGATGTCCATTTGGAGAAGGGACATCTGTTTTTGGAGACTAATTGTGACACTTGCTATTTGCTCTTTGACTTTGTTAATCTCCTTGAGTTGAAGCTGACTATCAGAGGCATATATCTCCATCGTGTTGCTCATAGTTGTACTCAATAGAGAGATGATCTCTAGAGTCTTTTCTACTGATTTGCTTATTTCCTTGAGATCTGTGTTGCGCTTCTCTTCAGATTTCTCTATCAGCTTGGTGTACCTGGCTTCCATTTGCTCTATCTCTTGCCTAAAGGAGGCATGTTGAGATGCTAGGGCTGATTCAATCAGCCCTTGGACTTTCTTTGTCCAGATTTCCGGTACTTCATCCGGAAGTGTAGGAATGGAAGAGCTATGAAAATGGAAGTTGGTTACCTGATGAGAGGATGGTGTTCTTTGGAATAGTTGCATAGGAAGAGATTCAGCATCTTCTTGTACATCTTCTTCATCAGTGATCTTCAGTGTTCTCTCAGATCCTTCCTCTGCTTCATCAAGTATAAAATTTGATATATCCCTAGAGAGAGAGTCTCTTTCTTCAGCTTCATTCTGTGCTTCAAAAATGGCTATTGGAGTTTTAGAGACCTCTAGTTCTGCCATTTGAGTTTCCTTCTCAGCTTCTCCAGAATTCCTTTGCGCTTCTACAGTTTGCTCCTCTTCATTTGTTTCTGGAAGAGTTGACTGTTCCAGAATTTCTGCTGACCTCTCCGGGATCTCAGTTTCAGTAGGATTGGAGATCTCACAAGGAGTTGTGAGAATCTCTAAAACTTGAGATTGGATCAGTTGCTGAAATTCTTCTTCTGCTGTTTTCTGGTTCTGTTCTTGTAGGGGAGAGGCTGCCTTTTGTTGAACAGCTTCAGTCAGAACCGTTTCAAAGGCAGGTGAGGTTTCCGGAAAGATTTGGAAATCCTCAACTATTGCTTCCAAATCAGCCTGTTCTTCAGAAGTGAGAACCACTTGATCTTCTGTGGCTTTTGAGAAGACTGGCTTGTGGACTGCAGTATCTTCATCATCTGCTTCAAAGTCTGAAACTGGTGTAGTGGCCAAGTGTTCCAGATGCAGATCCTCATTGTTCCTTTGCCATACCCAGTAGTCATCCAAGATGTCTTCACAGCAGTGGTTGACTGGTAGTCCTAGGCATTTCTTGATAATCTTCTCATTCTTCAGTTGTTGCTCCCAATCCAACAATTGCTCTGCTGAATTTCCAACTTTCCAAGCTCTCCAATTATAGTAGAGCTGCCAGAATTTGTTTTCAGCATCATCTGGTTGAGGTTGAGGTGATGAAGTTGGAAGGCTTTGGACTTGAGGAATTTCTTCTTCAAGTTGTTGAGGGCTTCGGTTGTGGACAGGGGTTTCCTTAGCAGGTTCATTCTCCTTCAACTCATCTGGATTGACATTTCCAGATGTTGATGGAGAGTTGATCTTCCTCTTTTTCTTTCTTTGAAGTTCTCCATGGTCAGAGACTTCTTCTTCTTCTTCCAAATTGATCAACGCAAGGTTCTGTGGTGCTTCAATGCTGATGGAGGGAGACACCACTTGCTTCCTTTTGGCAGTCTTCGTCATATGGATGAGTGGGACATTATCGGAAGAGCTTTCCTCAGCAGTGGCACTAGTGCCATTGCTGAGGATTCCATAACTCAAAAAACATATTTTCTAAATAACAATTGATTAATATATGATAGGAAATTCAACTTGGTGGTCCCAAAGTGGTGAAATACAAAGTCTAGAGGGGGGGGGGGGTGAATAGACTTTGTTACAGATTTAAAATCTTTTTCGTTTCTTTTGAAAACGTGAAAATGAGTGTTAATCTAGAGTCCTTGTGAACTTTAGATTGTGTGCGGAATTTTGGTGGGTAGAGTGAGCAGTAATGAATATGGATAGGTTAGTTTTCACAGTTAACATAATTTCAAGTAAGAATAAAGATAAGAGAGAGAGAGACACGCAAACTTTAACGAGGTTCGAAGGTGGGGTAATCCTTCTACGTCCTCAAAATCCACTATGTAGTTGGTTGTTGAATAATGGACCAACAATTACACTTGTGTGAATTTCTGCACGGTATATCTCCACAAGACCAATGTTGCTACTGCACTCGTGCTGGCTTTGTTGTTCCTTCGAAGGTCAAGCTTCTTCAACAACTGCAAGATCCGAACAATAGGACTTGCAAGATCAACTTGTAAGAGAGTTGACCTATCCCCTTTTTAATCAATAAGTTTGATCAAAAGTAATATCCTTCAACGTGGTGTGGTGCTTGAGGCAAGGAAACCTTCAAGTGTTTACACTATAGCTTTTTGGAAGGATAAGAAGTTTGCTTCTGGATAAGGAGTTTAGGAATCTCTCTTTATCAATCTTTTTGGGCTAACTGTGAATGAGATAGCTTTAGTGATTGCTTCGTTGTGTTGTTGCATCAGCGTATCTCATCATGTACTCTCCAGTCTTCCAAGGA